AAAAAGAGAGAGTCAAGAATAGAGACTGGTTGGAAGTCGAGATTAAATTTTTTTGATAAAAATTTTTCAGCTACTGGATAAACAGTATCATTAAAATATTTAATAATTTGTAAATAGATTAGTTTTTAGTTTTTGATAACATCAAAATATGTAATAATTTGAATGAAAAATTTAGTATCAATAATGTTTTTTTGTTAAGAGGTTGATAGTCTCTTCTTTGGACAGAGACTGTATGTTATAGTTTTCAGTAGCAGTTTGGTAATAAAGTGAAAAGTAGTAGTAAAAGTAATAATTATGATGTTTGGGATTTGTTTTAACTTTGTTTTGTTCATACACAAAGTTTTTAGCTTGATTAGCTAGTTTGTTCAAAGCTTTGGTAGAAATAGGTTGGTCAAATAAGACAGCATGTTCTTTATTTTTGTGAAATAATATGGCATTAAGAGTTGGATAAATCCAAGTTTCATCATCCTGGAGTGGAAATAATGAGTGAGATTTGGTTAGAATGTTATTGAAAAGTTTGGCACTATCATGAAATTTATTATTGTTAAGATATTGATATTCTTTGTTGTCACAAGTAAGGTAATGGAAGTTAGCAACATGAGATGCTTTTTCATGTTACTCATGAAGTGAGTTAGGTTTTTTAAAGGTATAGATTTCAGGGAGATGTTCGAAGAATTGAAGAATAAAGCATTGATGAAATTGAATTCTTAGAGAGGTGAGAACTTTCTCTTTATCAATATTGAAAGAAAATTGTTTACTGTAAGGAGAATAGTAAGCTCAAACTAGGAATTGAAGTGGTCAAGAGAGTTTTTTAGTGAAGGGATACAAAATCATTCAAGAAAGAGAGTTTTAGAAATATTAAAGGAGAGTTTAATGTTAAATCTAACATCAGATTGGATTGTAAGATATTTTTGTTTAAGATCTGTAGTTTGAGTAAATGATTCGATTTTGAATCTTTTGTCTTTAAGCTGTAAGTTCTTAGCAAATTTTTGGTAATTGATTGATTGATAGTTATTAAATAGAAACAGATGTAAGCATGTAAGATTAAGACAGAGTTGAAGATAATTATGGGCTATATATGAAGGAATAGTAACTGGTAAAACAAAAATTTCAAAATAATTAAGCTTAGTAAAAAGAATATTGTGAATTTAAAGATAAGGTTTTTTAAGATAGATTCAAGAAGATCAAAAGAGATAGTAGCATTTTTGTCAATATTGGAGTTGCTGTTGTAGATAAGGTTGGTTAAGAATTCTGGACATTGTCCAGTCATGATACGGATAATATAATGGAATGATGCTTTGAGTGCTAGTTGTATAGCAGTAGCTGGCTTAATTTCCTTACCAGGATAGAAATCATAAAGAAATTTTTTAAAAAAGATAAAAAGTTGAAGAGAAAATAAGGTTTGTAACTTTTTATTAAATTGCATTTCTTCAGTAATAGAAAAGTTTGCAATCCAGTTATATGTAGGGTTAGATTTTGGCTTGAGAACACTAGAGTATAATTGAGGAGAAGATTTGTTAAGAATATTTTCAGATTGGTTAGTGTTACTGGTCTTATTGAGATTTAGATTAGAAGTGTCAAGAATGTTAGTAATTAGTGGTTAGTTAGAGTTAATATTAGTATTAGTAGTTGCAGAAAAGAAAGAATCGATGAGATCAGATGAAGTTGAGATTTGGTAAAAAGAAATAGTAAGAGGATTGGTAGTTTGAGAGGATTCATGTAAAATGTTTTAGAAGTTTGTGTGAGGTTTTTCTTGGTTTAAGATGAACTAGTTTCATGTTGTGATAAGGCAGTCATACAAATAAGATGATAGATTTTATTATTTTTAGAGATGTATTTTCAGTAGGGTAATGGTGCTCATTTCTTTTGGTACAACCAATTGGAAGAGAGCATTTAGGGTAAGTATGGTAATATACATCAGATATAGGAGATAGAGGAATACTGTTAATAGAAGAAGAAAGATTAGTCATAAGTTCTTGAGTTGTTTTGTTAATTTTTTTAAAATTGTTATTAATATGAGCAGTTGTAAATTCAGTAGCTTAAGTATAATTGGTATTTGAGGTTGAGATAAATTGGATATGATATTTGCCACAGAGACAGGTAATTATAGAAGTAGAGATAGAAGATTTAAAGAAATGAGTAATTTTATTTGATTAAAGTTTTTTATTAAGCAGAAAATAGGTTGAACTTTGGAAAGAATTGGGCGAGCCTTGTTATTGTTGTCTTCTTAATAAAAGATAATTTTAAAACTGTTGGAAAAGTTTTAATAGAAATAATCAAGATCTGCTATATCTGGTTCTTGTTAACTTAAGGTAGGTATTATTAAAAGATAATAAGCTAAGTAAAGATTTTAGGCTTAGTATATTTTCTAAAAAGAGAGTATAGTTGTAAATAATTAAATTTATAAGGGTTGTAAATAGATACAAGAGTTGTAGTTTAGAGGTGTCACTAGGATGACACAAAAGTATAACAAAGGTGGATAAGGTCACTAATATGACTCTAGTACTGAATATAAATAGGATTTGTAGTACAAATTACTGTGTAATATTAATAAGAACTAAATATGAAAATACTTGATTATATGAATGGGTTTCTATTAATAGGTTGATTATGAAATGTTGGTGTAAATTAATAAAATATAGATTGGAAAATGATTGTATGGTTACATGAAAACTATGTAAGAAGAAAAAGGAATAGGATAGAGACAAAAGATAAAAAAAAAAGTTTTATAAGAGTGTAAATATTGAATTTAGTTGTAATTTAGTCAATATTAAGTTAAAAATCTTCATTTAGAGCTTGTTTTGACTGAGTAAATGTATATTACAACTTTACTTAAGAGTATAGAACAGATTAAGGCAGTAGAAACTGTAAGATGGTTAAAATTTGTTAACTAAAGGCCAAAGGCCATCAGTACAGTTTTCTCGATGAGTATGAAGTATAAAAACTTGATATTTATAAGATATATATAAAATAGTAAGCTGAACAAGTTTACTTAGAAGCCCAAGACAGTTTGTCTTAGTAAAATAAATAGTTATAAGCGTTTTTGACAAATGAAATTTTTAGTTAATTTTTGTGTAATGGATTTGCAGAAAGAGTTGTTCTAAAACACCTTAATATTATATATTTATATTATTTGATGTGAATATATATATATATATATATATTTATACATCTGTTTTGTACTACTAATTTGTCACTATTTATTAAAATATTTAATGATATTTTTTTTTTGAATTTGATTTTACTTTTTTTTTTTTTATTATTCATTAAACAGTTTTACTTTTCTTCTCTTCTTCATCTTTTTATTTTTTTTTTCTTTTTTTTGTTTTGTTTTTGATTGTTTTTATTTTTGTAATAAAAGGCCTAAACACTAGTATTTGGTCTGGATTACATTTGTACAATACTGGATATTTTTTTGTTTGTTTGTTTTTTAGTGAGTTGTTTCTATTTAATTTTTATTCTTTGCTAATTTTTTTATTTCTTTTTATTTTTTATTAGCAGAATAATGACTCATTTTATTCAAGAGCTCTCTAACTCTGAATAATGTGTCTGTATTATTATGGACATGTCTATAACAGTAAACAATATTAAATTTATAAGGCTGTAGTCTTAATATCCAATAAGCTCATTGACCACTCAATGCAGATGTTTGAAGCCACTTCAAAGCAAAATTATCAGTTATTACAACAAAAGGATCCAACTTAACATAATAATGAAAGTGTTCAATTATTCAAAGAATATTAAGACACTTATGTTCAGTTATGCTATAATTTATTTCAGCCTTGATTAATTCACAGCTTGCATATATAATTATGTATTCATTATCTTGATCATCTTTTTGTATTAACACAGTATCTAGACTGAACCCAGAAGCTCTATATTTATTATAAATATTTTATCAAAATTCAGGTAATGTAAAATCAGTACATTGATAAGATATTGTTTTAATTTATTAAAGTCATTATCTTGATACTTTTTTCAATTAAATTTGACATTTTTTTGTAGTAATAGGTACAAAGAACATACTATAGTGATGAATTTGAAGATAAACTATTGATAATATAAAGCTAATTCTAAAAAACCTCATAACTCACAAAATAACTAAAGATAAGAAAATTATAAACTTTTTCTACTTTTCTTTTGTTAAATTGGATACCCTCTCTACTGATGATGTGTCTTAAAAATTGCAAGTAGAGTTTAAAGAAAAACCACTTATTTGGGTTTAATTTCAAGCCTACACTCCTTAATTTATTAAATACAATGCCAAAATAGTTAGTATGAACCTCAAACATTGGTGAATAGATGATAATGTTGTCAAGGTACATAATAATGAATTTATCTAATAATTCAGCCAACACTTTATTTATTATTTATTGAAATATGTTAAGAGCATTTGTTAGATCAAATAACATTATCACAAATTTAAATATTCTAAAATTCATAATAAACATAGTAATTTCTTTATTAGTATCCTTTACACAAACTTGCCAATATCAAGATAATAGGTCCAATATTAAAAACCATGTAGCTAATCTAAAAACTTTCAAAAAGTCATTACATAGAGAAAAGAAAATGTATTCTTTTTCATAACCAAATTGAGCTTCTGATAGTCAATACAAAGACATAGGTAGCTATCTTTTTTTGGTACAATGATCATGAAAGATTCTTATGAGCTTGTATTTTCTTTAACTAAACATTTTGCTTTCAACTTTTTGATTTCATTCTTTATAAAACTGCATACACTAGAGACAACATGGTAGAGAACTTGCTTAATTGAGAAGCATTTTCAGTGTTTATTTTATAAACATACACTGATGTTTGTTTAAGATTATTTATGGTTTTAGCAAAAATGTTTATTTTATAAACATACACTGATGTTTGTTTAAGATTATTTATAGTTTTAGCAAAAATGTTTATTTTCTTATTCAATATATTGTATATATGATTTTTCTAAACACTTATTAGGACTTTATCATCAAGGTTCTTTTTTAATTTTTTGATTACACTTTCTTCTTTTTCTTAGTTTCTTCTACAGAAACACCTTTAACATTAGACAGATAAACACTGAGACTTTATAGTCAAGTCATGGATTGTTGTAACTCCAACCTACTATATTGGTCAATTAAAAATATTTTCACTTTGTTTAAATCTTTGTCATTGAATTCAAAATCATCAAATGGGTTTTCATTATCTGGCTTTTTCAATTTTTTAGATTCTTCTTTTATGGCTAAAGGAGCTGATAGAATTTCTTCTTTGTAAAACATGAGTATTTGCACAATCTTATTTTGATATTGCATATACAATTTTCTTTTATCAATGTGCAAATAGATGCCAATTTGACAGAACTAATTTATATTCAAAAGAATAGTTTGTTTGGTCAATTTTATAATTTGAAAAGTAGTCAAAACTACTACATTACTTATAACCAACTTAAGGTTGATTATTTTTTAAAAAGTCCTTATTCTGGTTCTATTTGTAATAAAGACCATTGTTGTGAAAGGTTTATTATTCTTTAATTGCAGTTTTTTCATTATTTTATTTGATATTATATTGACAACAGCATCTAAATCAAGCACAACTACTATGAAGTTTTCTTTAATCCTAATATAACAATGAGTAGCATTAGTTCTTGTAGTTGTAGAAGCTTGTGCAGTTGTTACTTCCATATCAATTAGTTTGGAATCCTAAGTTGCTACTAACACTAAGAGTCTTTTTAACACATTTATCAAATAGTGATTTTGATCAAGGTATTATAGCATTTTAAGTATATGTAATAGTAGTTTTCATATTCAACAAATCTTGCACAATGTTATACAGTTTCAGGTTATTAATTATTGAAGGTTCTCTTTTCTTATAAGGTATTTGTAGAGGATCTACTGGTATAGGTGCTGCTAAGGCAGGCATTACTGAGGCAGATATTATAGGAGTTGGTACTACTAAAACAGTTGTTACAGATAGGTTTTTACTTGATTAGGACATGACAGATATAATTTCAAAGACCTAATTAGAACAAGATTCTTTATTAACAGGCATGGGTTCTATTTTTCTATAGTGACTTGATCTTTGAGTTGTATATGATTAATGATAGATGTAAATGCAATAAAAACTTTATTTTCATCAATGTTTTTGTTTTATTCATTGATCACACTTATGTGATTAATATCTTTTGTTCAAAAAAGGATCTGAGTTAGTGTTGCAACATAATTTATATGAACTTGAGACTGGGCTTAAGATGTTATTTAATTTTGTATTTGAGACTAATTTTGGTTTTGGTTTCTTTTTAACATACAATTGTATGAGATATATTCTGGTTTACTACAATTGTAAGAAGTCAGATAGACATTGTTATTGTCATAATTACTATAGTTATCATAGTTACTGTAATTATTATTAGCTTAGAGTCTTGTTTCAAAATATATAACTAATGCAGTTGTTAACTTTTTGTATCTAATAGTTAGTGCTTGTATTTGCTGAGTTAATTGGGTAATTTTATTATCATAGGCTTTGTCTTTTTAATATTCTTCAATTTTGATTTTATAAGCACTTTGTATTATAGCATCCAAACTACTAAGATTTATAATATTTAGTTATGCAATAGTTTTGGCTTTGAGATCTTTTAAAAACATTCATATAACATATAATCTGAAAAGCTGATTTCTAGAATCTATCTTTCATAAAAATTTCTTGAACTTATACTCATATAAATTTATTTGTTTGGGTGACTGCTATTCCAATTTATTTAGATTGATCTGCTATTTGTACTATATTTCAGAAAATACAAAGTACTGAACAAACAATGAAACAAAACTTTCATCTAAATAGATTTTTCTATCCCAATATACTAAGTTATCTTTTATTTCATTATACCAACTTGTATCAATTTCATGTAGGTAGTTAGAAACTATTTTTATCTTGTATTCAGAGAATCAATTATTAATATCAGCTATATAATCAAAGGTTTCTATCTACTCAAAAGTGTCTTCTTCATTTTTATGAAAAATGTCCACTCAGACTAGATTAGTTTTATATATAAGAAGTCTGGTAATAGTAACAACTTCTATAATTATTTCTTTAAATTCAATAATGATTTTTTTCAGAATTAATTCAAGGATATCTAAGTCTTATATTTAAGCATGTGCTTACTTTTCATTGTTAGTTTGATTGTTTCTACTTGGCAAAAAATTATTCATAGATATATGATAACTTTCAAAACCTTACATAATTCCTTATTCTGCAATATACAGATAATTAACCTCTTTCTATTTATATCTATCATTAACAATTACTTGATCTTAATTTCTCTATATTTTGTTAATACAAAATACTCTTAATTATGTTATATTTAACTAACTAATACTCTTTTTTATATTACTATTCTGACTTAAACCAATATAATATCCTTCACTGCTTTCCTGAAACTGATAGTAATACCAGATTACCCTTATTTGGTTAATCATGTCACATAGCATGTAATTTAATCAGATAACAATAGATTAAATATATTTTTGAAGTATATCATAGCTTAACTTCAAATAGTACCAAGACTGCAAGAAAAGAACAAGATTTATCTACTTATCAAAAAAATAATATGCTGATAATAATAACTCTTTATAAATAAAAAAATAAAAATAATAATAAGAGTGTATATAGATAAAGTTTATTATATAAATAAATAATAATATGTAAAAAATATTGATCATTTATCATAAGATGAAATTTGTCTAATTGGTTAATTTTGATTAATCAATCTGTGATTTTTTATGATAATTAACCAATCAAATTATAATTAAAAACTAATCATGTTTTGTAAAAGATATTCTTTTATAAATAATTAATTAGTTATTAGTAGTATTAACAAATGTGATAAAATTATTATTCAAATTCTTGTGAATTTGTTAAAGTAATTAATAGAGTTAATAAACATTTCTGTGACATCAAATTTATAACAGAAGTTTCTCAATAAATTCAAATTGTTGCATTAGGAGGTTTCAGAATTAAATTTATTTTGAAATAAGTAGGAGTTTAAAAGTTTTACTTCTATTTTTAAATTCCATCTTAAGGAATTAAATAGGCACGAAAGTTGATAAAATTGGCTTTTTTATGATAAATATCTACTGGTAAATGATTATGTAAATATGTTTATATATAAAAAAAATAAGATTTATAGATAATGCACATATGTTAACAACCTTAATGTCGCCTGCAAAAGATGACAGCAGGATAGATCTGCTGGGTACATATTATTTAATTATAGACAATTCTAATCAAAAATGTTTTTGACATATTTATGAATTGTTATAAAACAATAAATATGGTCTCTAAGTTTTTTAAAAGAATTTTTTTAATGAATAACATGAATCACTTAAAATTTTATTGTTTATATGTTTTCTTTTGGTTATATTTGTAGGTAAATTCGATTTTTCTACAAGCATTTGTTTTTTATTTCTATATTGGATCAATAAGTTAATAATTTCAAAAGATGTTCTTCATTTATTTATGAGGCTAAACCAATAATCCAAAGGTTATAATGAATAATAATTTATTTAAATTACCAAAAAATATTCAATATGTTAAAACAAATTGTTGTATTTCTTTGAACATAATAATTTAATTTAGTTTCAACATTGTAACCATTTTTTTACTTAAATTCCTTTTTCATTCAAACAATCTATTATTTTAAATAGTATAATATCCTGTACAGAATTTGGGTTGTTGATCTGACATAGTAAGGGAATGACTTCTCATTATAAAAAAAAATTTTTGTTAATCTAAATGTGCTAATAATCAAAGAAAAAAATTCAAATAAATATAAAGTAGAATAAAACTATAAACAAAATCCATAAAAATTTTAGAATAACTATTCTGTAACAACCTATTACATGTATTTTTATTGGTTGTACTAATTGAGTTGTTACAAATAAGTGCGTAACAGGTTGTTACAATTAGATTTGTCCAAATTTTAAGCAATAACAGCACAGCGGTAACGATGGTAGAAGAATTTTTTTCCCGCCATTGTATGGTAATAATAATGAATTTTACAAGTACACAGACTTTTTTATGATTTGTAATCAAAATTGCCAATAATCAAATCGACTCACATAATCAGTTGTACCCGGCAGATCCGTTCGGCTACCATTTTTTGCGGGTGACGCTAGGGTCGTTCAAATACGTCTCTTACTTTATCTGAAATCGGATGCCAAATCATTAATTCTGAAATCCCCTGTTGTTTCTTTATGCAGATTTGCAGAAAGGTATCACACCGTGATTTTTTTTGTGATGATAGTGTCAGAAAGTTTAGAGATTCTAAATTTCCTATCGATCATAATTTTTAATCAATGGCTTCTATATTTATTCAAAATCTTTAAAACTGTCGAGAATCAAAAAATTCACTAAAATCCGTTAATTCTCTATGATTTCACATGATATCATGATCTGCAGGTGTTACCTTTTCGCAAACCGCTATAAACCAAACTTATATTAATTTGTAAATAATTATTTTTTAGATTCGGGGAGATTGTTCTGGTGTATGAAAATATGATGTTTATTTATTATTTTTACTAATCATGCACACTCGTCATTTTGTCTTTTTTAACCAATTAATTCAGTTTGTTGCCGTTTAAAGTTTTACCAGTTTCTCCACCTTCGCTATCTTTCATCAGTTTCGCTATCTTTCGCCAGTTCAGCATTTTTATATTTTTGAAAGTCGAAACTAGGCTTCGCTTTTCGTCAATGGCAAAATCCCTAGATTTCGCTTAGCAACTCTAGCTGTGATATAGTTGCGGACATAAATAGCATAATCGAATTCCCTCCTTTAACATACCATTGAACCTTGTCATATGTTATTTCGAATTTTATTAGAATTTTTTTAAGCATTTAATGATAAAAATAGCCCGAGCTGAGCGTGAGTAAAATATCTATA